ACCTTGAAGATAAAGAAGACTTTCATTTATGCATCACAAACTAAATATGAGAAAAAACAATACAACAATAGGTTGTACTGTAAAATGTTTCAGGACATCTTTATTTTTAAGTAAATTAGAGAAATAGTCAATACATCAAACCAATTTTTATTTCCACAACAAAACAATTATCAATAAATACATATAAATAATCAAAAGATTAGTACAAAAAAGATATGTTAGATACCTCCATTTTTATTCATCACATAACTTTTTAAAATCATTATTTGATATCATTGAGTAAGAGTTGTTTCATATTAATATAAAAACCACTTAGTCATTGGATAATAAGTTTGATAAGAAGAATAAAAAGATTCAATCCTATCTTATTATCGTCTTATAAAAATAGTAATGGTGATTTGATAACTCAGAACAGACAAATGAGTTTAATTTTATTAGTCATTATTTATAAGAGTTTTTCACAAAAACCTCCAACATTCTATGGATTACTTCCAAAGAAAAGCATTCAACCTCTTTCATCTAGTGAAATACCAACAAGACTACAAAAAAATAACACATTCTATCCATTTATATTAAATGAAATTCCATCTTCATTATCATATTGTGGCACTTATCGTAAACGAAATCCTCATAAAACTGAAGATTATTGTATAAAACAAACAATGAATCAAGGAGAATGTGGTGGATGTTATGCAATGGCATTAGCACAAGTTTTACAAGCACATTACACACACTTGACATTAAAACATCAAGCATTCAGCACACAACAAATCATTGATTGTTCAAACAATAATGGTTGTAGTGGAGGATGGCCTGCAAGTGTCTTAGAGTCACTTCAATACTTTGTTTCAGAAATTGAATATCCTTATCGATTGATTACAATCAATGGAAATTCAACAAATAATTACAAAAAGGAATGTATAAGAGGAAGAAGAACAAAAATCCATGTTAGTGATTATAAAGAAGTTATTGGACCAATCACTTTTGAACAAATCAAAGTCTTACTCATTGAATATGGACCATTTATTGGAATGATTTATAGTAATGATCAATTAAGAAAATATTCAGGTGGGATATTACATTTAGATTGTCCTGTTGTTCCAACACTTAACCATGCAATCATTGTTGTTGGATATGGACAAGAAAATCAAGAGAAATATATCATTATTAGAAATTCATGGGGAAATTCATGGGGAGAAATGGGATATGCTAGAATATCAATGAACGATTTATGTGGATTAGATGGAATAAAATATTCAGACTATCCAACAATTTTGTATTTGAAAACACAATGTTTGTTCTTATTTTTTTCTTTAAATATCATAACTCATAACGTCATAGTACCACAACAAGTTTATTCGAATTATTGAACAGACTTGAGTGTTAATAAGAGGTGGTGGTTTATTTGATAATAAATTATTTAAGAAGAGAAAAGTTTTAAATTTGTGTTTTTTTTTTAAACTCAAACGATAAAATCACAATGAATAGAAGATATGCTATAACCAAACAAACAAAATATGTTATTAAAGCTAATCTTATTCAAAAGAAGAATTATAAGTTGTTAGACTTTATTAGAAAGAGAGTTGAATATGACCCTAGCATTAAACAAGGAGATTTTATTGTTGGGAATATGACCAAAATATTTTATTTGACATACAAATATCATAGCACAAACATAAAATACCTTGAAGAATGTATTGTTCCATTAATTGAACAAAGCAATGAATATTTAAATATTGTGTTGTTTGTTATAGATTGTAAAATAAATGAAATAAATGAAGAAATAATACAAGATATCAATATAAAATTATTTAAGAAAAAATGTACATTAATTATTGCACAAAGTTATTCTGATGCTGCTCATTATATTGAAGAGTTTAGTATTGTAGAGAATAGTCAAAATGAAGTACCTGACCAAATAAACGAAAGGACACAAATAATAAATGCATTATCAATGATTAAAGGAATAAACTCGCAAAATGCATATGACCTATTAATGAAGTTTAATGTTTGTTTATTTGAACTGTACAAATAACAAAGAGAAATAATAATAAAATAGACGTTAAAGAGACTTGGAGTTGTTGATAAAGATGAGTTGAAAAAGAGTAAAAACATTGGACCAAAGAAAGTAGAAAGTATATGGAGAGTCTTTCATTCTCCAATTGTTGGAACAAAAAAGATGGAAAGAACAATTCAAACATTCCTAAAGTCTTTAACAATCGAAAAGAAGAAAACTAATAAACCATAAACCACTTATTACAAGAATTTTTTGTTATTTGAGAGAAAAAAGAACTTCAAAAAAGAATTGAAAATGGAGGATAATCAAACACAAGAAAATGAAATAAAAGATGAGAAAGAATATTCATATAAACCAATTACTAGTCGACCAGCACGAAAACAAAGTGATGGGTATGTACCATATACACCTACTCGAAGTGGTGATTATAATATTTGGTATAATAGATATAGTGGATTTGAAAGTAAACAAACACGAGGAGACAGAGGAAATATGACACGATGTTGTATTAAAACGGATGCAGGAACAACAAAAAGTAAAGAAGAATCTCCAATATGTCTTCATTTTGCATTAGGAAAATGTTTTAAAGGAAAAGAATGTCTATATAAACATCAACTTCCACAAGAAGAAGAAGAAAAACATTTAGGAGTTATTAAAGATATATTTGGTAGAGAAAGACATTTAACAGAAAGAGATGACATGGGAGGTATTGGGAGGTTTTCAAAAGAAAATAGAACATTATATGTTTCTGGATTTAAAGGGAATCTACCACCTCAACAAATTGAAGAAATTTTAAGAAGACATTTTGGAGAATGGGGAGAATTAGAATATATTCGTGTTCTTCCTATAAGAAATATAGCGTTCATAAGATATAAATTACGAGGAAGTGCAGAATTTGCAAAAGTAGCAATGGCAGATCAAAGTTTAGATTCTAATGAACGATTAAATATTAGATGGGCATATGATGATCCTAATCCTATAGCTAAAGCCATTGAAGAACAATCTATTGCATCACAATATGTTCAACAAATTAAAGACATTATGAAAGAAAGAAAAGAACAAAAACAAGAATATTTAAATTCAATTGAACCTCCAATGAAAAAACAAGCTGTTGTATATGAAGAAAATCCAATAGGTTTTAAATATTCTATTAAAGAAAATAAAACATTAAAAGATAAAGAACATCAAAATATTATTGAAGTTGCAAAGGAAATTGAAAAAAAGAAAGAAAAATATGTTCCAAACAAATATACTGGATTTATGCATCCTTATAGTTATGGACTTTTTTATCCAAAACAATTTGAAAATGCAAAAGTAATAGAACAAGAAGAAGATGATGATGAGAATGAAAAATAATTGATGATTGTTTTTAATATTCTTTAAAAATAAGAAGATAGTAAGCAAAGAATTAAGTAATAATAGAATTTGAAATAAATCTTAATTAAGTACTTTATATTATTATTTATTTCTAAATTATATTGAAAAAAAATAACCAAAAATTACAATAGGAAATTAAGTTAGATTGTTCAATTATTATCTTTAAATAGCAAATTTCCTATTTCAACAATAAAAAACTTTTATTGGTATTTAAATTAATAGAAGAAATAAATATATTTCTATTGCTTTTAGTATATTGTTATAATTATTTTTCTATACATTTGTTTATCAATTATTTCTTCTTTAAAGCAAGTGAATAAAGATAAATAATAAATAAAAAGAAGAAATTAATAGTTAAATTTTAAATAAAAAATAAAATTCTTATTAATAAATATTATTGTTCTTCATTTAAAAACTTATTTGTCTATAAATTCAAAAAAAGACAAAGAATAATAACAAAAAACATCATTAAATCCTCTCAATTTAGGCATCGTTTTCAATGAGACATTTTTCTGAGACGTAAACTCCATCAAGGAATTGTCTA